GTGCTATACCAAAAATCTTTCTAAAAAGAAAAAAAAAACATGCCAGGTACATGTCAAAAATCACAAGAGGAGAAGGGCTTGCAGTGTGGACACTCCCCCTTGGTGTACTTTCTCTCCCTTCCTCACCCCGTCTCTCTGGAGAGCACATCCGCCTTATAGCACACACATACACAGAAAGAGAAAGGGCAAACCTAGGACACTTTTTAAAATTTTTATTTAATTTGCTACTATTTTTAATTTAATCAGAGAGAGAGAAAAAGGGAAAGTGAGAAAGCAAGCCACCAGGTCTGGGATTCAAACAGTGGGAAAGGGAAAGTGAGGAAACAAGCTGCCAGGTCCAGGACTTGATCGGTGCTTGGCCATGTGGGAGTCCAGTGCCTCTATCCACCACCCCACCTGCCGGCCTCCAGTTCACTTAAGTAGCTGTGCTGTGTTTTAGGGTGATTTATCTAAAGATAATGACAGATGTTAATCAGTTAATTCTCTCTCTCTCTCTTTTTTTTTTTTTTTGAAGAGGTTTTTGCTGTAGGGCGTGTGCACTCGACAGAAAGTGAGAAATCACCCTCCACGGGGGATGGGCACATACACACACGCACCCAGCATGAGTTTAAGCTACCGGGTCCGGGACTTAAACCATGGTCGGCAACATGGGAGTTCAGGGACATAGCCATTACGCTAACTGCTGGTCCCTGAATCAGTGAATTCTTTAATGAGGTTTCTGAGCAGAATGCCGACGCTCAGTCACACGACATTTTGTCTTTCTGGTGTTGGCCACAGCTGTTTGCACTCGTCATAAGTGACTATCAGTGTGCACACAGAGGCACACACAGGCCTCCTGAAGGCTCATTCGTAAAGCTAAGCTTGTATTTGCAGAGAGGAGAGCCTTTGCTTGGTTTTAGACAACAGATCGTTTTCCTCAGTTATTGACGAAGCAGAGCTTGAACTGCTCATCCTGGATACAAGTCCTAACGGTGGTTCTCAGGACTCCAAGCCTTGCTTGCCTCTGCAACTTTCTCCCGTGAGCCCTCACCACAGCTAAGCCCTTGCAGTTCCCAGAGGCGCCCTGCTTTCACACTTGCCTACTTGGCTTCCCTACCTTTGGTACATGCCCTCCTCTCTGTGTCAGCCAGGACACTTCCTCCTAGTCCTGCTCGCAGGCCTGCCTTCGCTACTAAGCCTTCACTGGTCGCCCCGTCTGTTCTTTTAAAAATGCTTTAATCTAGTGAAATAGAATGGTCCTCTCCTGAGAAATGGGTACAGATGTCCATCAAGTAGTTTTATGCCGAGTGCATATTAAACAGAAATATCAGGTCCTTTGGAAAGTCATGACACATTTTTGCAGAGGAAAACATAGAAAAATGTGTCATGGCTTTCCTGACCACCTAACACTTAATCTTTTCAGTACAGTCAATAAAGCTGTCATAATCCCCCCAAAAAAGAACCCAGTCCCTCTCATTCCTCTAGAGCAGTTACGAGGGGACTTGAACTGTAGTCAGCCATGTGGGAATCGAGCACTCCAACCACCATGCCACCCGCTGCCCCTACTCCTGTTTTATTATTATTATTATTATCCTTTTTGTTGTTGTTCATGAATGAGAGACAGGTGCTGACAACACCCTCAAGAGGTCCTGACACCACCATTCACCCCGGCCTCCACCCACCCTAGGTCATGGGCACACATTCCCAGTGCCCCCAGGAAGGTCCCTGGTGTGAACCCAGAACCTTACCACGTGCACCAGCCTCACAGAGCATTGCCTTTTACCACATCTGAGTTTCTGTAGTCAGTGGGCACCGGGCCCTGCCCTCAGGTGAACTAAGACTGGGCTTCAGCTCTACAGGAACTCCCAAATCAGAAGAGGAAAATAAGTACTGAAGTGTCGAATTAGAGAGGGTGGGTGTGTGTGTGTGTGTGTGTGTGTGTGTGTGTGGGAGGATTTGGTTGGGAGAATGGGTTTTTTTAAAAACTTAAAAAAAAAAAAGCTTAAAACAAAATTTAGTATTGTTCCTCTAGGGACCGATAAATAAAAACCCCTGAAATTGGGACCAGCAGTTCGCGTAATGGTTGTGTCGCTGGACTCCCATGTGGTCGACCGTGGTTCAAGTCCCGGACCTGGTGGCTTAAACTCATGCTGGGCGCGTGTGTGTGTGTGCCACAGATCTCGAGAGGAGAATGGAGGAGAAGGGATGGCGGCGTGGCCATCCCTCCTGGGGGGTGATTTCTCACTTCCTGTCTGTCTGTCTGTCTGGCGAGCGCACGCACCCTATAGCAAAAATCTCTTTTAAAAAAAAAAAAACCTGAAATTGATGAGCATTTACTATTTTTGTCTAAATGGTGTTCATAATAGAAAATGTAATGATGACTTTGTTTATAAGTATTGTTTCTCTCTTTACAAAGCATCATCTCCTCTCTGAAATCCTAAAGAGTTGGAATTTTTTTTCTTTTTTTGGTGCAAGTTAGGAAAAATTATTAATTGCATAAAAGCTCGATTACAAACAAGCCTTGGGGGACACGTGTCCACCTTGAACCACTAACGCTTCTCTTTATCGTCTCAGGTGCTGCTACCCCCGTATGACGATGCCACGGTGAATGGCACTGCCAAGGAGCCGCCACCACCC